GTTCGGTGCGGGATCGTCTGCAGGAGCTGGGAATGGCTCTGGATAAGATGGAGGGGATGGAGCACAAAGCAGAGGGTCAGTTTTGCCTCGGAGGGACAGTCAGACATGGCTGCCCCTCGTTTGAGGGTTCTGGGGGGCAGTCGAGGTGCCGGGGCTCAGCCATGCTCCGGGAGTTTGTACTTGCTGCGGGGCCAGTGGTGCTGCGGTTGAGGCTTTCCTTGCTGTGCTGCCTATGGTATTCACGTGCCAGTTTGGGGATCCCTCAGTGCGCCAGCTGTGTGCCCATAAGAGTCAGGGACACCCTCACAGTGTGCAGCTGGCTCCCTACCCTCATGCCATGGTTTTAGTGATTTTGGGATGTGACCTTGCTTGTTGTCTTTTCTTGGCACAGGGTTGTCAAGGAGGATTTGGAGTCACCTCTTGCCTTGGCCTAACCTCTGACCCTCTGCCCCTTTCTCAGTGGCTCTCTGGATGCCCAGGGCAGTGGGGCTGTTGCATGCATGGCTGGGAGAGTGTTTGGGGTTTCCCTGCCTGGCCCCAAAAGCCAGACTGAGACACCCAGCACCACATGTGGCCTCAGCTGTGTTGCCATAGGACACAGTCCTATGAAGCCTGGCCTCACTCCTGGCACTGCTCACTGCCAGGTGATGCCAGGCTGGGAGATCCTGGGTTGAGGATTTCCATCCCAGTGGGAACTCACTCTAGGCATGGGGCTGGTGGTGGGACATGGTTTAGAGCTGAGCAGCATATCCTGAGTGCATGATCCTATTGACATCCCTTCCTGGGCAGCAGCACCTGCTGTCTCTGTCCCAGAAACTGCTGTAGGGGCACAGGGGGCTGTGTCCATCCTGGCTTTGGCCAGTCTCTGATGAACTCCTTCCCTATGGAAAGAGCAGGACACACAGTGCAGGTCTTACGGTGCTGGAGCTGCCTCTGTTGCTCCTTCTTGAGCCTTGAGCATCTGATGGGGATGCTGGTGGCTGTTGCTTTTGCTCTGCCACTGCTCTTGGGGCTCTGCTGTTTGCTGGGCTTCACTTGCACCTCTGTGGCCTCAATGCAGATAAACAGGCATCTCTTGCAGGGACTGAGGCTGGCTACAGCTCCCAGCTCTGCTCTGCACTCCTGAGCTACAGCTTGTCACTGAATCATGGCATGGTGTGTGTTGGAAGGGACCTTAAAATTCATCTTGTGCCACTCCCTGCCATGGCCGAGGGCACCTTTCAGTAGGTCAGGTTGCTCCAAGCCCCATCCAACCTGACCTTGAACATTTCATTGATGGGGCAGTCACAGCTTCTCTGTGCAGCCTGTTTCAGTGTTGCCTCCCCCAGCCCCTCACAGGCCCTGGGAGGCTGCGAGGCTTCACTGACCTACTCAGCTGCTGACCTGAAAGGTGCTGTGCTCATCCTGCTGGAAGGTGCTCCGTGCCTGCCTGTGCCAGATCAACATGGGCACAGCCCAGTGCTGTGGAACCTGCTGTGCCCTTGGGGCACCCAGGCAGCTGCTGCCCCAGTGTGATGCTGACTGATGACCCTGCAGATGGGCTTCTGCACACTTGGCTGAGCCCCAGCATGGAGCAGCCACCTTGGCACAGCAGCAGATCCCAGACTTGCTGCCTCTGGCTGCTGGGGGCTGGAGGGGGCAGTAAGGTGCAGTGGGTGGGGATCACCCCGGGAATGATGAATGCTACAGAGTGGTTGGTTTGTTTATTCCAGCAGTCCTGTCCTTTCTGGCAACCCCAACCTGCCTCCAGGGTCAGAGCAGGTTGCTGGGGGCTTGTTGCCAGCTGTGGATGTCCCTCCATCCCCCCAAAGCTCCACAGAGCCTTAATGGGGAGAAGCAGAGTCACTGAGGCTTGTGTGCCACAGGAACACAAGCCAATTCCATGGCTGGGCTGGAGCCAGCCATGGGCCCTGCATGCCATGTCCTTGTCACGGGCACTACCAGGAGCTGGATTTTGCCCCGACAGCCCCTGGAACAGGGAGATCCTGCGGGTGGTGAGACCCATTGTGCTGAGCAGGGGTCTGATGCTGTCTCTCCCTCACAGCTGGGATGAGAGCAGCTCCATCAGCAGCGGCCTCAGCGATGCCTCGGACAACCTCAGCTCAGAGGAGTTCAATGCCAGCTCCTCGCTCAACTCCCTGCCCTCCACCCCCACGGCCTCGCGCAGGAACTCGGCCATAGCGGTAGGTGCCAGGGGCACCTGGACCCTTTCCAGCACCCATCCCAGCCTTCCTGCCACACCTCGGGGGGACAGGGGGCATGGAGGGTGCCAGTGTGAGGAAACAAGGATGGCACAGGGTGTCTGCTGCGTCCTTCTCCCAGCTGGCTGATGTTCTCTGCGGGTGGGTTTGGGGTGGGTGCCAGGAGTGCCCCTGACTCTGCTCTGCCCCCAGCTGCGCACGGACTCGGAGAAGCGCTCACTGGCAGAGAGCGGCCTGAGCTGGTACGGGGAGGGCGACGAGAAGGCACCCAAGAAGCTGGACTACGACAGCAGCAGCCTCAAGATGGAGCATGGCTCCTCCAAGTGGCGGCGGGAACCCTCGGAGGGTGGAGAGGAGGGGCCCAAGGGTGGTGAGCTGAAGAAGCCTGTCAGCCTGGGCACCCCAGGCTCCCTCAAGAAGGGCAAAACTCCTCCAGTGGCTGTGACCTCCCCCATCACCCACATGGCCCAGAGCACCCTCAAAGTGGCAGGTAAAAACCAGTTTGGGTAGGGTCCAGCTCCTTTGATGGAGAGAAGGTTGGTTGCTGTCTTTGTGTGCTTTCTCCAGGCATGTGGGCCATGGGATGGCCTATGGCTGTGCTCAGACCCAGGGGCTGGGTGTGGGCTGGAAGGGGAGGCAGGGCTGTGTTGTGGGCTGCAGGCAGGCTGGGGGTCTGTGCCTGCCCTATGGTCTCCCACACACCAAGCTGGGGAACTACTGAGTGCACCAAGGGTCTGGCATGTCCCTTCTCCATCACATCCCTGCATCTCTGGTGCCCATATCCTGTCTGGGCTTGTTCACTTCCAAATGTTCTCAAAGCCTCCAGGGACACTAACTTGTCCTTTCTTGCCACTAGGCAAGCCAGAGACCAAAGCCACCGACAAGAGCAAGCTGTCAGTGAAGAACACGGGCCTGCAGCGCTCCTCGTCCGATGCCGGCCGTGACCGCACCGCTGACGCCAAGAAGCCGCCGTCAGGGCTCACACGTCCCTCATCCTCCAGCTCCTTTGGCTACAAGAAACCAGCTCCTGCCACTGGCACGGCCACTGTCATGCAGGCTGGGGGCTCAGCCACGCTTGGCAAGATCCAGAAGAGCTCTGGCATCCCTGTTAAGCCAGTCGGTGGGAGGAAGACAAGCCTCGATGTCTCCAACGCACCTGAGCCTGGGTTCCTGGCACCAGGGGCTCGCTCCAACATCCAGTACCGCAGCCTGCCCCGGCCGGCCAAGTCCAGCTCCATGAGTGTGACCGGGGGCCGCAGCGCAGCCCGGCCGGTCAGCAGCAGCATTGACCCCAGCCTGCTGAGCACCAAGCCGGGCGGCATCTCGGTGTCGCGGCTCAAGGAGCCATCCAAGGTTGGCACTGGCCGTGGCACACCAGCCCCTGTGAACCAGACAGACCGTGAGAAGGAGAAGGCCAAGGCCAAGGCAGTGGCACTTGACTCTGAGTGCAGCACCCTGAAGAGTGCCAGCTCACCTGAGAGCACCCCAAAAGCCCAGGCCAACCTCCCGCCAGCAGCCAAGGTGGCTGAGCTGCCCCCTACACCTCTCAGGTATGGTCCTTCTACCTCTGAGGGCAGCAGTGCCTGGCACGGCTGTGCCCAGCACCAGTACCTGAGTCTCACCTGTTTCCTTACCCATTTCCCCCCTCCAGAGCAGCTGCCAAGACCTACGTGAAGCCTCCCTCGCTGGCCAACTTGGACAAGGTCAACTCCAACAGCTTGGACTTACCCTCCTCCAGCGAGCTGCACACCCCACACACTGCCAAGCTCCAGGACCTGCACCCAGCTGGTGGGCACCTTGCGCCCTGCTTCAGCCCCAGCCCTGCCCCCATCCTCAACATCAACTCGGCGAGCTTCTCCCAGGGCCTGGAGCTCATGGGTGGCTTCAGTGTCCCCAAGGAGGGCAGGATGTACCCCAAGCTCTCCGGCCTTCATCGCAGCATGGAATCCCTGCAGATGCCCATGAGCCTGCCCAGTGCCTTTTCAGGGGGCAGCACCACCACCCCCGCCCCTGCTGCTGCACCCCCTGCCAGCGCAGAGGAAGAAGAGGAAGAAGAAGAGGCAGGAGAGCTGGGCTGGAGTGGGAGCCCCCGGCTGACACATCTGGACAGGTATGGCTGGAAGGAGGTGGGTGGGTTGCTGCAGCACCTTCATGGGCACACATTGCTCCCTGCTGTTCTGCCATGTCCTTTGCCTGCTTCAGAGTCTCTTCCTGCTACATTTCTAGGGAAAAGCTCCCTATTCCTACAATTCAGTCCCCATGGTTCCTTCCCTAGTCTGTGCAGGGATGTCACTGATCTTTCCTTCCCTTCCAGTGCCAACCGCGACAGGAACACACTGCCCAAGAAGGGGTTGAGGTAAAGGAGCCCAAATTATTTTTGTGTGGTGCTGGGGTGGGAAGGGGAGGCTTTCCAGGCGAAGGCCCCTGAGCCAGGGAAGCTGGGCTGCAGTGCAGTGGGCAGGAGCTGGACGGTGCTGGTCGATCTTACCATGCCTGTCTGCGGCTCCCCAGGTACCAGCTCCACTCCCAGGAGGAGGCCAAGGAGCGGCGCCACTCCCACGCGGTCAGCAGCCTGCCCGAGCCGGACGAGCAGCAGGAGCTGCCCTCGCCCCCCGCCCTCCCCATGGCGCTGGTGGGGAAGGGCCCGCTCACCAGCATTGGTCAGTGCCCTCGCTGCCAGCCCCTTCCCTCCTGCTGCCCCTGCTCCCTGTGTGATGTGCTGGTGCTCCCCTGGGCGCTGCTTGTCTCCCTGACACCACCAACACCAGCACCTGGTGCTTTGGGTGCTGGACTGGGACCAGGGGTGTCCATCACCTCTGCTTCAGGGCATCTCATCCACCTTTGGGCCTCAGGCCATAACTGCTCCTCTGGGGGTGCCTGGCAGGGCAAGGGGTAAGCCTTGTCCTGATCTGACCAGGACCTGAATGTTCCTGGAGGGTTTGGGGAGGTCCAGGCAGACAGGTTGGGGCAGCAGGCTCCACTCCTGCACCTGTAAGTGTTGGGCCGTGGCATAGTGGTACCCACTTGGCCCTGGGGCAATGGATTTGTTTTTCAGCCCTGTGATTACCTTGGTGCTGGTGTCCAGGTCTTCCCAGCATCAACCTGCCTTTTAGCTTTCCCCAGCCCCTCCCTGCTTTGGGACCACAATCCCTGCTTCCTCACTGCATCACAGCTCTCGTGGATTGCTCCCAGTCCTGCTTCCCCATCCTGATGGCAGGTCCCTAGCGTGGCTCTGACCCTGCCTCCTCCCTGCTTTCTCCTTGCAGTGAGCCCCACTGCCACCACAGCCCCGCGGATCACCCGCTCCAACAGCATCCCCACCCACGACTCCACCTTCGAACTGTACAGCACCTCCCAGATGGGCAGCACCCTCTCCCTGGCCGACAAGTCCAAGGGCATGATCCGCTCAGGCTCTTTCCGGGACCCTGTGGACGATGGTGAGAGTGTGCTGTGCTCCTGCCCAGGCAGAGGAGGCTGCACAGGGTTGGTGGGGCTCCCTGCACCCTTGTCCCTTCCTACTGGTGCTGCCATGGCATTGTTGGATGGGTGGCTGTGTCCCGTTCTTGGCATCAGAGCAGGGACAGCAACACTGAGGGCTCTGTTGGACTCTGTGCTGGCATCAGCCCTGGGTCTGCCCTGACCCCCATGGGTGCTCAGTGATTTGGGTTGCCCCCAGGGTGCTGTGACACTGGGGAGGAGAGGATCCAAGCAGACAGGGTGGGCAGCAGAGCCCTGGTTCCCCAGAGAGGAGGGTGCAGGTGGAGAGCACATGCAGAGAAACGAGCAGTGCTGAGCAGCTGCCATCCCACCCTGTACCTCCCCCAGGCACCCCTGAGAGCCCAGTCACTGGGTGTGCCCTGGGCTGTAGCCCTGGGTGCTGCTCTGCAGGGCACCCTGACAGCTCGGGTTTTCCTGTGTTGCAGTTCACGGATCGGTGCTGTCCCTGGCCTCCAGCGCGTCCTCCACCTACTCCTCCGTAAGAGCCGCCTCTGTGCTGCTGTGCTGCTTTGTGCATGGCTGGGGGATCCGGGTGGGGCTGGGGGGGGCTCTGTGCATGCCTCTGCCTGCTGCTGAGCCTGTCTGTGCCTCGCTGCCCCCCTGACTGCCTGCCTCTGTCTGTCTGTCCCTCTCTGCTCTCACGCTGCCAGGCTGAGGAGAAGATGCAATCTGAGGTGAGCCCACACCCTTTGCTCACGCCTGCCCCTGCCCCCAGTGAGGGCAGTGCCTGGCCCCTCTCATCTCCCCTCTCTCCCCACAGCAAATCCGCAAGCTGCGCCGCGAGCTGGAGTCCTCGCAGGAGAAGGTGGCCACGCTGACGTCCCAGCTGTCTGCTAACGTGAGTCCCCATGGAGCCCCTGTGGGGCACCCCACTCCATCCCTGCAGGGCATGGGGCTGGTGCTGCATGTGCCCATGGAAGCCCTGATTTCCCTTCAGCCTTTTGCATCCCACACCTGGCAGTGGGTGCTCACCTGTCCGTGGGTTTTTGCCCAGATGTTGGGGCTCACCTGTTTCTCCACTTCTCCCAGGCCAACCTGGTGGCAGCCTTTGAGCAGAGCCTGGTGAGCATGACGTCCCGCCTGCGGCACCTGGCTGAGACCGCCGAGGAGAAGGTGGGTGTGTCCTGGGGCTGGTGGGTGCTGGACTTGGGAGGTTGCCCCAAGGGTGCTCTTGGGTGGGCCCTCCACCATTGGGATTCACTCCATGGCTCCCAACTCTGCTGCCCCAGGACACGGAGCTGCTGGACCTGCGAGAGACCATTGACTTCCTGAAGAAGAAGAACTCAGAGGCCCAGGCTGTGATCCAGGGTGCACTAAATGGCACTGATGTCACCCCCAAAGGTAAGGCATGATGCTGCAGCCCTTCCTGAGCTGGATGCTCCTGCTGGGACTCGCACAGGGCCCCAGGGCACATCCTGTCATGGGGGAAGTTCATTTGGAGACAGGGTGCCCCAGGCAGCAGTTTTTCCCCACCTGGGATCCTTGACCATCTGAAACCAGGAATGGACAGCCAGAGCTGTCACCATGGGAGGTCACAGTGCTGGCTTTGTCAGTCTTGGGAGACTTCCTTGCCAGGCCCTTTGCCAACAGCCAGTTTTGCCTGCTGCTATTCACTTTGTTCCCATAAGTGCTGTTTGTAGCCCCAAAACCCCAGTGTGAGTGCAAGAAGCTGTCAGGGACAGCAGCAGGATGATATGTGCCCTGGGCATCTCTCAGCAGGTGGTGTCTGAGTCCCATGTCATTGTTACAAGGTGGCTTCAAGAGCTCAGAAGGTGCTGGGTGGGACGAGGAATTGGGTATAGGGAGGAGGGACCATAGGGTGCTCTGGTTTTGGGACAGTTGCAGGTAACTGACCCCTCCTTTCCCAATCTCTCCTGCTTCTTTGCTGGACCCCAGAGCTGCGCATCAAGCGGCAGAACTCCTCTGACAGCATCTCCAGCCTCAACAGCATCACCAGCCACTCCAGCATCGGCAGCAGCAAGGATGCTGACGCCAAGAAGAAGAAGAAGAAGAGCTGGGTGGGTTGGATGGGGCACTGGCAGGAGATCTGGGGCTTGGGGAGCCACTGGCAGGGTCTGCTCAAGGTCAACCCCACAAACCAGCTGCTCTCAGTCTGCTTTGGCTTTGGGGTGTTGGTGTTCCCTGTCCTCTGGGGACAGCAGTGGTGAGGAGTGTAATTGCCATGGATTTGTGTCTTGAATTGTTGGCTGGGACGTCTCCAGCCCCTTCAGGAGTTTCCCAGCTCTGGCCCTGCATGCTTGCTTCCTTGTGTATTCCCCCATGTCTCCCTCCTGCGCACGCAGGCTCTGACAGTGTGGAGGGCTGGCACCTCAGCTGGGCAGCTCCTTCCCTACACCAGGCAGCTCTGAGCTGGATGTGCAATTAAGTCTTGCTTTGTTTTGTTTCTCTTCCCCTATGCTGACCTCAACCCTTTTTTTCCAGGTGTATGAGGTAAGTCCCACACTGTCCAATCCACCCGTGCCCAGCCAGGGCCCTTGCTCCATTTCATGGATGGTGCTCATACACTCCCCATCCCATCCATCCCACTGGCACTAACCCCAGCACAGGCCATCCTGGGTCCCCAGCCAGGCTGTGCCCACCTTGGCTGCTTCCTTTGATGTTAAGGACAAATATGCGCCCACAAGGAGGGGCTTGAACTGCCATAGATAGACAGCAGGAAAGGCTCACATGGGACCTGCCCCCTGGATGGGAACAGTCCCCTTCTTGCCTAGGGAAGGCAGGCACTCTCCTGACTTCCTGTAACTGCATCTTTTGGGGTGGAGGCCTTGGTGCAGCCCTGCCAGCGTCACTGAGGGCACTGGAGTGCCCTGCCCATCTCTGCCTCTCCAGGGCTGCCTGATGTGGTCTCAAGTGGCTCTGTCTCTGCCAGCACTCACATAGGTCTCAATGTTTCCCTGCTCCCTACTTTGTTTACACTGAAATGCAATGCTTTTTGTTTTGAGAACACCCTAGAGCAGTCTGCTAGTGCCTGTGAGGATTGGGACAGATCCAGTGTGCTCTCCATCCCTTCCTTTTCCCACCTTCCCTTGGAGCAGGCCCTGGCAGTCCAGGGCACATGTTGTGAGCCCAGGGTGCTCGTCCTGCTGCTCTCCTACCAGCTGGTGGGAGCCAGTTTGGGTCTAGTTTGTGCAGTGTCCATCCCCCTCCTGGCCCCAGCCCGCTGCTCACCCACCACTGCTCTGTGTGTGCTGTGTGCATGCTGCATGCTCAGGTGAGACACCTGCATGCTCATGGAGGGCTGGCTGCCCCTCTGTGCTTCCAGCAGGATCCATGGGGCAGAGGGAGGTGTGGGGCAGGACTCTGGCTCTGCAGTGGCTGGTGCAAGGGACATCCCTGAAATAAATGCCTCTTGCTGAAATGGCTGTGGTGGGGTGAATGTGGGGGTGGATTGGCCCTTCTCGATGGACCAGGGTGTTGATGCCATGCCTGAACAGCCTGATGTAGGTGCTGCTGGGGAGCAGGGCTGGGAGACATCCTGACCAGGACATGGGTCCCACTCTTTGGGGCTCTGGTGCCATCCAGGCTGGGGTGAGTGTTGCCCAAAGGGCTGTGCACCCCATCCATTGGCAGTGCCAGCAGAGGGGGTCAGGCTGCAGCCTTCCCCAGCATGGTGGAGGTGCTGCCTCTGGTGGATGTGTTTGTACTGGTCCCAGCTCAGACTGTCTGTGGGTCCTGGACAGACAGGGCAGGACTAGGCCAGGTCTCTGCTTGTGAGGCTGCACTTTGGACTGCCTCTAACAAGTTTCCTTCTCCTGTAGCTACGCAGCTCCTTCAATAAGGCCTTCAGCATCAAGAAGGGCCCCAAGTCGGCTTCATCCTACTCTGACATAGAGGAGATCGCCACGCCAGACTCGTCAGCCCCCTCCTCCCCCAAGCTGCAGCATGGCTCCACAGAGACTGCCTCGCCCTCCATCAAGTCCTCCACATCCTCCTCCGTGGGCATTGACACGGCTGAGTACGTGGGGCCAGGGAGGGCCGGTGGCAGGGGCTGCAGGCTCCTGCCAGGGACACGTGTGAGACCTGGTCTCTCCCTTGGCCTAGGCTCTTCCAGGCCCACAGTGAGGGCGAGCCCGAGAAGAAGGAGGTGTCAGAGCTGCGGTCAGAGCTGTGGGAGAAGGAGATGAAGCTGACAGACATCCGCCTGGAGGCCCTTAACTCAGCCCACCAGCTGGAGCAGCTGCGGGAGACCATGCACAACATGCAGGTGAGGACCCCTGCCCGCAGCCTGGCTGCTCTCAGTACCAAGGTGCCCTCAGTCCCTGCATTCTCACCACTGTGCTGCACCCCAGAGTGCTACTGCTGTACAGCTCCTTACCCTGTGCCCTGCCTTGTTGTGCCCCAGCTGGAGGTGGATCTCCTGAAGGCTGAGAATGACCGTCTCAAGGTGGCCCCTGGGCCTTCAGCAGTGCTGGGTGCTGTTCCCAGCCACATCACGAGCACATCGGCCTCCTCTTCACCACGGCGCTCCTTGGGTCTCACCATTGGTCATGCCTTCAGCCCCAGCCCGGGGGATGCAGGTAGGGGTGATAGAGCTGCTAGCAGATAGGGAAGGGCTGGGATAGGGAGTGTGTGTGGTGGCAATGTGCTGCTGCTCACCTGGAGTGAACAGGGGATCTGTCGTGCTGCTGGTGCTGCTGTTGGCCACAGCAAGATTTGCCTCTGGCTGGGCACAGCCAGGCCTGGTGGCTCAGCTCTGGCCACACAGCCTCACTGCTCCATCCCCAGACATGTCCCCCATGGATGCTGTCAGCGCTGGCACTCAGAAGGATGAGCTGACTCTGCGGATTGTGGTGCGCATGCCGCCCCAGCACATCATCAAGGGGGTGAGTGGGGGCTCTGTGGGGAGCCTGAACTGTCACCGTGTCATGGCCCTGACAAAGGGGCAGAGGATGTCTCCCAGGGCTGGATGTGGTGCTGCAGCACTGTACACTTTTGCCTTGGCTCCTAGGACCTCAAGCAGCAGGAGTTTTTCTTGGGCTGGACCAAGGTGAGCGGGAAGGTAGACTGGAAGATGCTGGATGAGGCTGTCTGCCAGGTCTTCAAGGTAGGAGCAAAAAGAGCACTTTTTATAGAGCCATCCTTTGACATTGCTCCACCAGGCCTGCTATTCCCTGGCCCAGGTCCTCTCCAAGCTCTCTTGGAGCTGCTCTCTGACAGCCCTGTCCTTCTCCATGTAGGATTACATCACTAAGATGGATCCTGCATCCACGCTGGGGCTCAGCACCGAGTCCATCTACGGCTACAGCATCAGCCACATCAAGCGGGTGC